TCAAAACAGTCCTGTACATTGTATCCATATCATACTTTCCAGGCAGACATAGAAAATGAAGAATTTTTGTATAGAATCCACAGAAATTTTTTTTGAGAGTTCTAAATGTTGCTATTACGTATAGATTGTATCATAGTGTTTCTACGCAATACTTTAGTGACAAATATACTGTATAATGTAATTATTCTTAGTCATTTCTATTGATTCTTATTGTTTTGAAATTTGGTTCTCTGTGAAGGAAAAAGTTATACTGGTAAGCTGTATATATTCACATTCAAATATACTGTTGTCTGCTATATTCCTTTAAGAAAATATGCTCTTTACTTCTACATACCAATTTCAATGTTTGATCCATTTGGATAACTAAAAACTAAGGTCACTTTATCCATTCACCTTCAGTTCCTTCTGATTTACACGCAGCACCTTGTATAAAGACAAAGTTTAGGGCAATCTATTTGGCGTTGTAATGCCATTTATAAGTATATATAAGTATTTCACTTCATTTTAGTTTGTGACTTCAAGACTTAAGTTTTTAATTTATTTTCTTGTGCTTTATTAGCAAGAGTCTTTCAGTGGAATGTTTGATAGTATAAATTTTAAATTTCTAAGCCAACCCATCCTAACTGAGTGAAATTTGCGGCTCTAAATTTAATTATTAATGAGGGAATATTTTGTGTTCCTAGTTGATGACAGACATCACATAAAATACCTAACACTGAATATTGTACATCCAAATTGAGAGAATTATATAACTATACTGAGAGGGATTCTCTTTACAAATAGTGCTAAGATACAAACACCAACTTGAAGTGAATCATTAGATATAGTAAGGAAGCAATTTGTTTGTCCTGGCTGCCCAGAACTGAAATAATCACACAGAAACAATATTAATTAAATCACTGCTTGGCCCATTAGCTCTAGCTTCTTATTGGATGACTCTTACATATTAATTTAACCCATTTTTATTAATCTGTATATCACCACGTGGCTGTGGCTTACCGGTTAATGTTTCATCCTGCTCAGATGGGGCTACATGGCTTCTCTCTGCCTCTGCCTCCTTTCTCCTAGCATACAGTCCAGCTTTCCCCGCCTAGATCTGTTCTTCCCTGCCATGGTCTCAAAGCAGTTCTTTATTCATTAACCAACAAAAGCAACACATAGATAGATGGACCTCACACACGAATTAGACTCTGAGCTATTCTAAATTAAAAACAATAAAATTGGTTGTGATGTTTTTAGTACCTTTAAGTCTGTATATGATGTGACTTACAAATGTACTTGTGGCTCAAATCATTAAAACTTCATTGAACTGTGAGGGTTCTAATTTCATCTATATTACACTATTTTGTGAGTTCATAGATATGATGCTAAGGACAAATCGAGGTGTTAGAACATTTGGGGTACACACTTGATGTTTACTCCTGGTACCTAGGTCTTCCCTTTTGCTCTCTACTTCCTGGCTTCATGAGATGGGCATCTCTGTTCTACTATGTCCTCTCCACCATGGTGAGTTACCTCACCAATTCTAAGACATAATGGAGCCACCTGATCATGGTTTGTAGTTTCTTAATCCATGAGGCAACATAAATCCTTCCCCTCTTGTGTTCTTTTCTCAGGCATTCTGTCGCAGCAATAGAGTCTGATTAATACTCTCTAAACCAGAAAACAAAACCAACACAAAGTACATCTCAGAAGTGTTATGTATTTACACATTTGTATTTTCATATAGCAATGCCTTGCAAAATCATCTTGTGTCTCAAGTGCTACAACTGCATTCCCTAGATAAGCATTGTTTGTTATGTTACATCACAAACCAGGGTATCACACTAAGTTTGTATTTTCAACCATTTGTTATGTATATATTTGTAGATAACAGGGCTTTCACCAGATAGCACATTTCCAAAAACTGGTATGCTAGACCTGAACTCCAGTGTAAACTAAATTAAGAAACAAGCCCTTCTTTCTAATGTTTCAGAGTTAATTTTTTTATACATATCAGGCGACTAAATTTTGTACTATTCAAAGAACACAGTTATTTATTAAGGAAATATAAAAATTCTAGTGTGGTTTAATGTTTGTGCATGTTCATTTTGACTCTGTTTTAATTTTGATCCTTTTTTTTTAATTTGGGGAAACACTAAGAAACTCAGCAGTGAAGTATTTGAATATACTTGCTGTATTAAGGAACTTAGTAGTAGATCTGTCACTGAGAGTGTGCACATTCCAACCCAAAACCTGTTTCCCATAGTGTGCCAGAGACAGTCTTGTAAGTCATTCTTGTCTTTGTATCTTGTACGGCTCCATAGAAAAGGTGATTAGGAAATATTTGTCAAGTGGGTGAATCGAAACTCAGTCAGAACAGCATCAGAGAATAACTCGTTTTCAAAATCCCAAGCCAGTAACAAAATACCCTTTATACATGACAAAACACAGCCAAGTCATGACAGATTTGTTACCTACTTTTGCAAAATTATTTTAAAAAAATAACTTAAATTTTTTTATTTGTTTAAATATGGTAGTTACTTGTACGATCAATTAATTTTGATAATAAGACAAAAACTAATGTTTATATTTTATACATCTTTATGAAAAATCACATAAATAACTTGTAATTAACAGAAATGCAGAATGAGCGTCTGCTTTTAAAATTATCAAAGCTGATGTAAACAACACTTAACTGCAAAGCATTAAAACATTTGCAGTAATTTTTAGTATTGTATGTGCATGGCTAAGATGCATAAATAAAAGATTATTTACAGCTACTTTATACTGTATTGCCATAACACAGATAGTAATTGGTCAATTACTTCCTTTGAGAACACACTTGTTTTCATTTTGCATATTGCTGTGGACTTTTTCCTCTATGAGTAAGAATGTAATTTTTTTGTCATTATGAATTTTATCACAGTTTGCATGGCACATAATAAGTCAATGAACTATAACCATAGTCAGAATACCACACTTCTTTTAATAAATATATTATTCAACACGAATTACTGAGTGAAAAGATTTTGCAAGAGATTTGCCAAAATCCGATATAGATTTCAGGTGATGATATAAATTCTACTTTCTAAAGTTGAACATTTCATTTTCCTAAGTCCTCTACTAGGGAATGAGTTTGGTCTTTATTTGGCTCTAGTGTCACTGATTTTTCTTCCTCTCCATCTCAGAAGTAAATAGCTAAAGTGACATGTGTATTCCACATGAAAGAAAATCCATAGATGAGCATTAGTGAGTTTTGCTTCTAAAACATAAACATTGTTCATTTTAAGTGCTTGTGGAAGGCTGACAATGTCTTTGGTAACTTCTTCATCGAGGATGTGCTTCAGCATCATTACGTAATATGATGAATAATTCGCCTTAACTCGCACAACAAATCTCTCACGGCATCATAAATCACACCGGAGTATAAATTGTATCACCGATTTGCTAGTGTTCTTTTGAAAGGAATTGCGAAAGACACAGTCCATGTGGCTGACACTCACAATGGAAATGTGGTTTCAACAGTTCTCCAAAGTGACTATTAGCAGTTATACAGTCCCCTTACTTTTTAACTCAAGAAAACTGTTTTTATCTACCTCTTGATAAACACTTCTTTATATTTTAATTTACATTTGAAGGCATGCAACAGTTTATTTCTGCCCTATATTTACAGTAACAAGGGAATGGATAATTTATGTAACTATGGTGTTCAGAAATATAATCTTAAGGACGTGATTAAGGTTGCATATCCTTGCATGTGCAAGGATAGGGAGTGGCTGCATACGGCCATGTGCCCTCTCCATGTCTTGCCACAGGATGCTCTATGATACTTTGGGATTTTTATCAGCAAGAAGTCCTTATTAGGTGACGTCCTTAGGCTGTGCGCATTTAGATCTGTAAGCCACAATAAACCTTTGTTCCCCTTTAGAAAGCAGTCTGTCTCGATTATTTTGTTAGCTAGTAATCAAAACCAAACTAATGCACTAGTTCCCTCAATAGCAAAAAGAGAATATGCTACCAAATCTATGAGCATGCATATTCCAACTCCAATCACTTCCTAATATTTCTACGTCTAAAAAAATAGTTCTTTAAACCATTATCTTTTCATCCTTTCCCCAACACTCTTGTATAGTGTGGTGGGAGGTGGTCCTGGGTGAAGGACGCTGATCATTTAGGGCACGTCTTCAGGACCATGATTCCTTCCTATTAGAAATCTGTTTTGTGTTTGTATCACCTTATAAGCTGTTTTTCTATTCCCTGTCTACCAGGTTCCCCACTCCACATGTCCCATACACAACCATGGTGTTCTTTCCAAGTATATGAAACCAAGCCTTAGAACGCAGCCTCTGAAACTGAGTGACTCCTTCCTTCCTTGAATGGTCTATGCCAGATACTTTGATACAGCAATGCAAAACCTGATACATGATACCACTTTTGTAACAGATTCCTGCATAAACATCGCCTTTGTTTATCACTATTACTCCTGTTACCATTTCTGCAGTGATATCAACCATGCTTGTATAGGGTTGGCATAAGCACTTGCTCGATGAAAGAATGGCTGCATTGAATATAATATAAAATCACAGAGCTAACTATTTTTGGATCTACAAAGTACCTAATCTGATCGTTCCTGCTTATATACTCTAACCTTAAGACTCCTGCATAAAGGGAAATGCCTTATCTTATGTCTTTCTTTGTCATGGTCCCAGCCATTATTATCACTGTATCTGTTCTGTGAACAAGCCAAGAGTAATTTTAAAAAACTAAATGGAAAAGAAAACATTCCACATGTTTTCAGTGACAATTTATCCGTCCCATAACCAGCTAGAAATGCAATTGGATAAAAATCCAAAAGCTTCGCATTCCTATCTTAGAGTACATCTTCCTAGTCTGTAGTCACGATGTCAAATTATGTCCCTAGTTAAAAGTAGAGGCAAGAAAAGGCATTAATGCTAAACCATCATTCTGAGTTTACACAGGTGATGACAGAAATATAATGCTCTTTGTTTTCCTTTTAGATCTCCAACTAAGGACATGGATTCCGAAGAGAAGGAAATTGTGGTTTGGGTTTGCCAGGAGGAAAAGATTGTCTGTGGATTAACTAAACGCACCACCTCCACCGACGTCATCCAGGCTTTGCTGGAGGAGCATGAAGCTACCTTTGGAGAGAAGCGATTTCTTCTGGGCAAGGCCAGCGACTACTGCATCGTGGAGAAGTGGAGGGGCTCAGAGCGGGCCCTTCCTCCCCTGACGAGGATCCTGAAGTTGTGGAAGGCTTGGGGAGATGAGCAAGCCAATATGCAGTTTGTTTTGGTTAAAGCTGACGCTTTTCTCCCTGTTCCACTGTGGAGGACGGCTGAAACTAAACTTGTGCAAAACAGTGAGAAGCCCTGGGAGCTCAGCCCGGCCAATTACATGAAAACTTTACCACCGGATAAACAAAAACGAATCGTCAGGAAAACCTTTCGGAAACTGGCGAAAATCAAGCAGGACACGGTTTCTCACGATCGAGACCACATGGAGACTTTAGTTCATCTAATCATTTCTCAGGATCACACCATTCACCAGCAAGTACAAAGAATGAAAGAGTTAGATATGGAAATTGAAAAATGTGAAGCTAAGATCCACCTGGACCGGGTAGGGCATGATGGGGACAATTACGTTCAGGAGGCGTATTTAATGCCCAGGTTCAGCGAAAATGAGCCAAAGCTAGATTTTCCACCTGAGGACAGCCAGGCTCCGATGGACCTGAACGACAGCGAGGGGATGGCACAGCTGGAGGAACGATTGCAATACTACAGGGTGCTCATCGAAAAGCTCTCCGCGGAAATTGAGAGAGAGGTGAAGAGCTCGGGCATGGACGGAAGTGAAGATCCAGAGGGGGCAGCGGCCTGGGAACTCGAAAACTCTGATTTGGAGAACGTGAAGTGCGATTTGGAGAAGAGCATGAAAGCTGGGCTGAAAATCCACTCTCACTTGAGTGGTATCCAGAAAGAGATTAAATACAGTGACTCACTGCTTCAGATGAAAGCAAGGGAATACGAACTCCTAGCCAAGGAGTTCAGTTCGCTTCACCTTAGCAACAAAGATGGATGCCAGCTAAAAGAAAATAGAGGAAAGGAATCCGGCGCTCCCAGCAGCGGTGAGGAGATCCCTCCATTAACTCCAGGGCTGTTGAACACATACAATGACACAGATTCGGATACTGGCATCAGCTCCAACCACAGCCAGGACTCCGAAACGACTCTGGGCGATGTTCTGCTGTTGTCAACATAACTCAGATGCCTTCTTTCTGACGACTACTCATGTTTTGTGTGATTGAATGAGAAACTCTGTTCCATATACGACTCTGTGAAAGTGTAAACCGTGCTAAAATATCTAGTAGTTAATAAATAAAAAGCTAGTGGACATCGTTGTTCGTTTACATAGAGTGCTTCCAATTTGACTTAATTACAGGTTCAAGCAATGTACTGTGTATTAGGGATGCAGGAGATCTAGTCCGTGGTTACATAACACAGAGACAATGATTGACCGTTCCCCCACATGAGACAGGAAGGACATGAACTTGAAAACAGTTCTCAACTTTGTTCATCAAACTATCCATGCTGCAAGCTGACAACATTGAATCATTAGAATGTTTAAAGTCTATAAAGTACAGGTCAGCTCCTATGTTGCATGTGTCCTAGATGGATTAATTCAAATCTTGCTTTTTCAATTGTCAGGTTGTAAAATGTATTTGGTGTGTGTGTGTGTGTGTGTGTGTGTGTGTGTGTGTATGTGTGTTGCTTTTTGGCTGCTGTCTGTTTAAGTCTAAGGGACAGGAAGCTGTTGGGACATGCATAATTCCTGACAGTGAACCAGTTTGGGCACAGAAGTGGCAAAGTCAAGTGCTACAGACACTCAGCTTTCTTCCCCCTAAGCACATTCAACATGATCACAAACTATACATAAATTCTTCCTATCTACCCATTAGATCGTCTATCAAACAATGCTGTAGGTTCATTATTTTGGAAGTTAGAGTGTAGGTTACTGAAGAACTCAGTCATAATTGTATTTATACCCTCCCAACTGCATACATTGAAGTGGAATTTACTGTCCTTTGTGTATATAGCAGTGTTTTGTTCTCTGCGAACAGAGTAGAATTGAATGTTTATTCTAGTATCCCGTAAGCCAGCTGTCAGGATTTCCAGGGTGGTTAAAAGAGCTCAGAACTTTTAAGCTGCCCTAAGCACACTAAGGGAAATTCAAGAGATTGAATGGATTATCTGGATTCTGTCTTCACTCTCAGTTAGAATGTTTTGCTTGATTTTAAAACAGATATTTACCCCCCTCCTAGCTTATTTTTTCTTCATACCTCTCTTTTTCTTCTCCCTTCTTCAAAGCCAAGGCAGAATGTCATCAGAGCCAAAATAATTAATTCATTATTTTGTCGTGAACTGAATACCGATGTACCTTAGTTTTCTTGAGTTGGCCAATTTCACGCAGGTCAGACTACATAAAGTAGACATGTTAGTTGATGTATTTATAGTATGTGTGCATTAGGTATTATTCCTAGAACATTTCTCTTTTATACAAATTGATTCAACCTTTAAATGTTTTCTCTTTTAAAGTTTGAAAGTTTTAAAGATTTTATCAGTTTTATTGTGGACTCAAAGTCTTTAGTTGGCTCTTTCCAAATGTCGTGCCTCCCCCCACCCCCACCCCATGCTTTACTTGCTTCCTGTATTTTTGGAAAGATGCTTGAATTTCCATAAAGTTTTACATCTGGGAAGCACCTATGCTACCATTTCTTTAAAAAAATATATAATTTCAGGTCATACAATAAGAATTTCTATTCCATGGAAATACTGGAATAAGTAATAAATAATCACATTCACATAAATGATATTTTTAAACAAAGAATGGAGCAGCCATTTGTGAAAGGGAAGTTCACCTGGTTAACAGTCCATTAGGTCAATAAAACATACACTAAAGTGTAGAACATATTTATTGTTACCAATAGAGATCAAATTCAGAAGACTTATAAATGATAAGTCATTTGGCTCCTTGACTCCCTGAAATGAAAGCTTTCTCTTTGGAGTTTGTATTCAGGAGGAATATAAATATTGTACATCATAGCATGCAGCTGGATAGCAGTACCTAAATTCAAAAACAGTCATGCTAAGAATTGTCACAGGATTTCACTGCAGAGGGGTTTCAAGACAGGTTTTCTCTGTCATTTTGGAGCCTATCCTGGTAGTCGCTCTGTAGATCAGGCTGACATCAAATGAGCTCACAGAGATCCACCTGTCTCTTTGCATTTTACTTTTAAGAATGTCTAAAACACCTTGTAGAATGCCGATTTCTTAGACTCCTTGTAGCGTTTACATTTTCTTTCATTATTAAAATATATTTCTATATTTGATTGTTACACTAAGTCACACAGTAATTAGTTTCCACTGTGAAATTCTAATAGAGTTCAATATAACCCTATTTATGCAGATAGAAATCATGAATGATCTCATGGATCCTATGCTATTTATTGTTAAATTGATGGTTAAGCTTATAAATACAGGACTTGAAAGTTTAATGCTTTAATTATCTTGAGAAACTTAGTGAATTACAAACCCTTAAGTAGCCAAGCAGATTAATCACAAATTAGCCATATGCGGCTAGAAGAGGCAAGCCACAGCTGACGATACTTATTTTTCCCAGGTCTAGGTTCTCAGAGCGCACCCTCGGCATGCCTTTCTCTGGTGGCCTCTTCCACTCCACTCCGAAATGCTGCTGACTTTCTTTTCTTTCCTTTTTGTCTTTCTCGGTTTTTCCTTTTTCCTTCTTCTTTTGTTTGTTTGTTTGTTTTCTTTTGATTTTCAAGACAGGGTTTCTCTGTGTAGCCCTGGCTGTTCTGGGACTCCCACTGTAGAATTCAATCTCCCAAGTGCTGTGCGCCACCACACCCAGCAAATACCTACATTCAATGTACTTTAAGTCTTCTTTTCTTTTGAACAATTGTGTTCCATTTTGGCAGTTCTAGTCTATTATGTTAGATGTATTTCTTTTCGGCTTCTCTCATATATTAGGTTGTATATATTTACGTAACCATTTAACTCCACTCACCCAGCAGAGTTTTTATCTTGTTCTTTTATTATTTGCCTTTCTAACTTAATTAGTTATTTCCAACTTCTTAGGTTCTTGTTCCATTAGTGAAGTGAATTGCTACTTCTAAAGGGTTTTAACATGTTTTATGATTTTTTTTACATTATATTTACTTGTGCAATTTGTATATACACATGCATGTAAGCAGGTTTAACAATATTAACTGGCATTCTACCTATAAATTTAGGGAATAAATATTAAATATTTACATGGCATCATTTTTGATTAACATAAAATGTATACATTATTGGGGGCACTATGTGGTATTTCAGTACATATATGCATTGCATAAAATTTAAGTCAGAAAAACATTCAATTATTTTATTAAGAGTTTCTGACTTAAAACAACTCATGTGCCTTTTAATTTAATGGCAATGTTATAACATCTATGTAGGTGAAATTTTATGTCCCACCACCAACTCTCAAATAAATACACTAAAGTTTGTATTACTTGCAAATGCTCAAACAATAGCTCAGGCTCATTGCTAACTAGCTCGTACAAGTTAAATTAATCCATGCACATCTAATCGTTGTGCATATATAAAAAGAAATTTTCATAGCATTGAGTTTGAAGTGGTAGATACTCCAGAACTCTTAAATACTAAATTAAATCTCCGCATCATTTTTGTTCTTAATTGCAAATTATGATGCTGTATTATTATATAAAAACCTTTCTAACCCATTAAATTTTTATTTTTGTATTTATTTAAACCTCCACTGTATATGACAAAATATATTTCTGTGGCTGCATTTTATAAATTTTTAGAGTAGAGTTATTGTTATATTTAAAACATATTTTTCTAGTGACAAAGGAATACAGTTTCAACCTGATATAGCTTTTGAAATAACATTGGACTGCTTCTTTTCATATTGCCTTACTGGTTTGGTGAACTTCATGTGATAAATATAAAATTTCATTTCTTCAAGTTATAACTGATTCAGAAAAATAAAAGGTTATTGTATCCTGTCTGTAGTATTTTCTTTATTTCAAAAGCTATGTTTCAAACAAATTGCATACCATGCAGAATTATATAATTGCTAAGATAAATGAGCACATTCATTTTGGGGGGGTGAGTTAGTATTTCTTGGCAAAACAAATGGGTAGAATATAATATCAAAGTCAACTTTTTAATAGGTTTGTACATTCTTGTTCCAGTTTGTTATGGAAGTATGCCTCAACTTGTGTGCTGATTTTATGCATGGCTTCATTCTTTTTAAAGTGGAGTTATCTCATATGAGATTGTTCAAGACCTTGTTGGTTCTTTCTACTAGAATTTATTTTGTCATTGTCCTCTTCAAAATAAGTATTCTAGATGGACTATTTTAAATAACTGATCACTAAAGTCATAAGGTCTACTACCTCATTTTATAACCATGACCAAAACTTCATTAAAAGATTTTATATAACATCCAACAAAGCATATAGGAATAAGTTTGCACTACCTTCTTTTCTATATGTCACAATGGTTACAGGAGAGGGGTAATATTTTCTCAATCAAGCTGAATTTGTGCCTTTAATAACTGTTGAAATGAAGAACTGGAAATTTTAGTGCTATTATCAATATATGTCTGAAAATCACTGACTATCTTTGCATTTCAAATAAGCAATTTACATGTTGTTTTTCTGAGTCAGACATAGAAGGAGCTATTATATGAGGATAAGTAGACGATACACTTCATACATTTGTGTAATATAATTGGATATTTACTTTTTGGTAAAGTAGATACATTGTATAAAGTTCAATTTTTTTTTTGGAAAATGAACACTATGAAATCTTATTTCTATTACTGTGGGCCTGCTGCCCACATGAATTCATTTTGACATTGAAGATGTAAACTATAATTTATGAATTTCTCTAGAAATAAAATATGAATAAATAAGTGTGTATTTAGTTACATATCCTGACATATAAAGCATAACACATCCAGAACAGTTAAGTGATCTGTTACTTTGCCTTCATACATACACTCTTCTCACTCAGAAATGTTACTATCCTGGAAAGGGTCCCATATTGTTCATATGGAGATCTTTCCTTCTGCCTCACTATATTAGAGTATTCTGATAGCACATCAATTCTGTGATCAGTCACATGGCTTCCTGATGAGCATTTGGATGGCCTCCAATTATTTACTATGTTATTATAATAGCCTTCCAAAAATTTCTGTGAGGCAAGATGTAGAAATATTGGCTCAAATGGTGGTAAATGTGTTTTTAACTTCGAGAATATCTATAATTCACATATGTGGAAATTAATATGTTATGAACTGAATTGAAAACCTGTTCAGCATAGGCGATATTAGTTTTCTATTTGCATGTTTAAAATGGCAAAATAATAAACAGATTAAGCCATGTAATTGATCTTATGGGTTACTATTTAATGATGTGCTTTCTGGTCATTCTTTAAAGGGGTGCGAGTGAGATACTTTTCTATTATTGTATTAACACTCCTTATAGAAGTAATAGTTTATTGGGGCATATAGATCCAGAGGGATATGAGTCAATTATGGCAGGGAATGGTGGCAACATGAGGGAGACATGGCAACAGAAAGAGTTGCGAGCTCCATTTGCATAACACAAACAGGAAGAAAAGATAGCAAACTGAAATTGAAATGGCACTGGGCTTTGTAAACCCCAAAGTCTACTCGCAGTGATGCACTTCCTCCAACCATGCCTCTTAAACCTATTCTACTGGCACCACCAACATCTGGCCCCCATGGGACACATTCCCAACAAACCTCTAAAGATTCTAATGCCATATTAAATAATAAATAGTTTTATAAATTATTATTTCTAAAATTTTTATATACACATTTATATTTCAGTTTTAAACTTTGGAGCAATCTAGCATTGCAGGATTTTTAATTCTTGAAAATACCGAGACAACTGATTTTTATTTAGATGATTAAAAATTATTCCATAACATTTGGCACAAACTTTATCCCAGTCTTAGAGTGGCATCTATTATTGGTTGTGTGTGAACCAAATTATGGTTTATATGTTAGCTGTATTGCTGGCATTTCTATATCATTTTCTTGCTATGACTGAACTGTGTGTTTATATTATGATACTATATTATCTCTTCACACCTTTAGGATGCTTTTAATATTTGGTATATTAAAATGACATATGTACCCACTATATTTTACAAGACATTTCTTTGATCTTTTTTTATTTTCACAATGGGCTCAACCGTGTTTCAAGCCACAAGAGCTTTACATTGGCATTTTAAATTTACTTATGCAAAATTATAAATAAACACAGGGGTGTTGAATTTTTTGACAATAGAACTTATTATCTGAGACCTCTATGGGTTCTTTAGTAGCACTGAAAAGTTTTATTCAGTACTATCACAGGAGGCATTAAACATTTTATTTAATTCTTCTCCTTCTCTGTTACATATTAGATAGTATCTTCCCACTAGATAATTCAACTTCAAGTTGTCCTTGCCTACTTTGTGTAGAAATTCTTTACTGATGTCTTATGTTAAGTTTACATTCAACTA